CATACTGGCTCTTTTCCCTTATACTCTTTATTATTTAAATGATATTATAACACCTAAATGTAATCTTGTAATATTTTTAGCCTTTATTTTCTTGATAAATTATCTTTATACTTCAAGTACTTCAATAATCCATTATGTCAGCAGCAAAGTCCTTACCTGAGGCAGGTAGGTAATACAATGCATAGCATGCTGGGCCTGAAGTCAGGAAGACACTTCACTAACTATGTGATCCTGGGCAAGTCACTTAACCTCTGTCTGCCTCAGTTTCCTCATCTATAAAATAGGGAAAATAATAGCACTACCTCCCAGGATCATTGTGAGGATGATATATTTGTTAAGAAATTTACAAACTTTAACATGCTATATAAATGCTGCTACTTCTTATTTGGTTGGAGAAAAAAAAAAACTAGTCAGTTTCAATCCCTATGATGCTTTGTGTTTTTTTGGTTTGTTTTTGTTTTGTGTTATGTTGTGTTTTGTTTTGTTGTGTTGTTTGTGTGGTTTGTTGTGTTTTGTTTTGTTTTTTTGTTTTTGTTTGTGTTTTGTTTGTTTGGTTTTTTTTGTGTGTGTTTTTTTGTGTTTCCACACTTAACTTGTTTGATCTTAAGTTGACAAAATAGTCTGCCACTGCCACAGACTCAGTCTTTCCAGCATGTCCATATGTGCCAGAGCTGGTGTTCCACTAACATAGCCTTTGAAACCTTAGGGTCGTCCCCATACTGAGCCAAGACATCAGAGGACCTTAATTAATGGAAGATAAATTGCTAGAAAAGAAGTTTTAGAATAATTTTGTATATATTTTTCGCCATCCAAAGAGTGAATCTGGTTCTGAAGGCATCATCCCTGAGCTGCTTCTTAAGTATAAATCTCATTTATGGTATATTCATAGGGATTGTCTCAAGAACTCTTGACCACATTTTGCTTTATATCAGCTCTCCTCTACCTGTATTTGTTTGCTTAACTGTCTATTCCTTTCAGCCAATTTTTAAACGTATTTAAAAAATTCAAATCAAAGGAATTCAAAATCAGTAAATGTATGCGTTTTTCAGACATTTTAAGGTTTTCTAGATTTCATTTGGTATAAAGTCAATTTATTGAACAGTAGCTTTACAATGCTTGCATAATTAATAAGGCTAAGTGAGAGGATATCTTAATTTCAACCTGTGGTATAATTACATGATTAGAATTGGGTAGGAATGTGCTAAATGTGCTTTTTAAAAGAACTGCTTCAAACTCTGGAAGTCATTGGTGAAATTTTAGGTCAATTTATATAAAACATATACATATATATATTTAATGATTTAAGGTTTTAACATCTAGAGGCCATGTTAGCACCATCAAAATACAGCTCACTAATTGCCTACTCCTCAAACGACTTGAATATTCTCTGTGCAATTTATCCTTTGCTCTGTAGTCACTAACTTTCCCTTCAAAAGCAGGAAAATGTGACTTGTATTAGCAGTACCAAAAAGTGGAATCCCAATTCATATATGACAATAAATTAACCTTGCTGTTTATCACAGAGCTTTTACTTGTGGATATTTTGTTTCTGAAAGATATAAAAATGTGATCAGCATTCTTTAGTGACTACAAAATTCAGTTTGATTTGCAGTTTTTAGCCTAATTTGTATTTGACTAAACATAACAAATATGGGTCTTTGAAGAACCGTAGTAGAAGTTGTGATGAGAGAAATGCATAATATGAAAAGGACTGAATATGTGGTGAAGGTGCAGTGTCAGGTAGATGGTCCAGTTGTTTTATTGATACCTCATAATATAGAGGAACACCTTCAACACCTTGGGTGAACACTCTGGTGAATTTACAGAAGGATGGAGACAGGAGTTACACAGGTATGAATGGACTGCAACCTGCATCATTAGAGTTTCATTCAAGTTGATGGGATCACAGATCTGCTAGATTTTTTTAAAACTTTTTTTTTTAAGATTCTAACATTTCACTTTTATTAGGGGTTGAGAAAGTCATTTCTCCAGATCATGTCATCCTTTTTCCCTTTTGTGTCTTGATCAATCAGTACTTATTTGTTATGTACCTGTTGTGTGCCAGGAACTGTGCTAAGTGCTAGCACACAGTATATTATTGAAATATAGAAGTACAAGGATAGAGACTGTGGAGGTATGCATTCGAATTCCACTTTTCATATTTACTGCCCTTGTGACCATGGACAGGTTACTTAATCTAATGAAACTTATACTACTTATACAGAGGGCTGCTGTGGAGAAAGTTCTCTGTAGATCATAAAGTGCCTCAGAAATGTAAATAGCTATTAGTATTTATTAGACATAAAGTTTCATAAAGTAAGTGACCAGCTCATATTCCCATTTCTAAGACTTCTGCTGTAGCTATGTCCTTTTAAATACTTAAATCTCTGGTTTAATTAATACTAATTTTCTTTAATGTTTTAAGATTTCTAAAGAGATTTCCTTCCTGAAACCTCATAAAGTAGCCATGTAAGCCCTTTTCTCATTTAAATCGACTTTCTTTTATTTTTTTAAAGATTGGTGTAGGAGGGAGCACTGGGCCTGGTACATCTGAGACACTTAATTAATGCTCATTCCCTTACCCTTTTATTATAACTATCCCTACCCCTCTTCTCTTATTAAAATAATAATGATAAAAATTTTTCTTTGTAACAAGTATAGTGACCCAAAACAAATCCACATATTGGCAGTGTCTGAAAAAGAATGATTCATTTTGTGTCTCTAGGCTCACACTTCTGCCAAGAGGTAGAAAGCATGATTTCTATTCTGGGGTCATGTTTGGTCATTGTGTTTATCATAGTTCTCTAATTTTTCACCGCTGTTGTTTGCAGTGTATAATATTGTATCTGAGTATAGAGACTGTTTTGCCTTTGTATCTCATCACATACTTAGCACAGTGCCTTTAGCAAACATAGCTACTATGTTTCTGAGCTAGGATTTAATCTGTCCTCATGTCTCAAAATTCGTATCTCTTTTGACTAAACCAGGATTTGTTTCCACACTATAATATCAGTTAACATTACTAACTATTAAGACATTTCTTCTAAGATTCCCTTCCATATCCAAATTTTATGATTTCTATAACAGGAAGATACTGGCTCAATGAATTTATTTTTTATTTATTTCTAATATAAAACCAAGTGTATATTTTGCTGCTACAGTATTTGAGATTTGGTTGTAGTCATAACATCAAGTAATAAGGATTTTTTTTTTCCTCCCAAGCATGTATTTAAAGTAAAATGGATAGTGTTTTATCAGAAAGGTTTTCATATACTCATTTTCAATTATGTTCAACTCTTTACCCATTTGGGGTTTTCTTGGCAAAGATACATGAATGGTTTGCCATTTCTTTCTCCAGTTCATTTTACAGATGAGGAACTGAGACAAACAGTGACTTGTCCAGGGTCACACAGCTAGTAGATTTCTGAGCCTGGATTTGAACTCAAGATGAGTCTTCCTGACTTCAGGCCTGGCACCCTATCCACTGAGCCACCTAGCTACTAGCTACTAACTACTAGCTACTGCAGAAAGGTAATGCTACTAAAAATATGAACAGTATTCAAAATAATAGTATTCAAAACAAATGTTTTCAAAAAGCAATATTGAAAAGTATTCAAAAATATGAACAGTATTCAAAATTTAACATTGACTTGTATGATTTTATACATCACAATTAAAAAAATAGCATTAAAACTAGGCTCCCCTCAAAATAAATCACTAAGCACAACGTCTGAAAGTAAAAATTAGTAGACAACCCCAAACTGGAAACACTATCACATGCCCCACACAGAGAGCAGTCCCTGAAACATCTCTTTTTTTTTTTCCCCATTAGCTTTAAATTCCTTTAACACTGCAAGAGGTAAATATAGTGTGCTGGAATTAGTCCCAGATTAGGAGGCAGGAGAATTTTTTAACCTTTTTTGGATAATGGATTCCTTTAGCTATTTGGTAACACTTCTCAGATTAATGTTTTCATTTTTAAATATATGCATTAAATACATATATATACATACATACATGCTTGTTTTAAGTAAATGCATAGGATTACAAAGGAAATCAATGGTATTGAGATAATTACCACAGCCTTCTTTTTTAAAAGTTCACAGACCCCAGGTTAAGAACACCTGCATTGGATGATCTCTAACCTTCCATCTCTAAAGCTTAATGACACTTTCTATAAATGTTCAAGTAGAAAACTAATACCATATAGGGAAATGGCTAACTAGAATTATGGGAAGTGGGTAGAGAAAAGAAGAAAAGAAATTTATGATGGGGGAATAGGAATGAAAATAGTGGGGAGTAAACAAAATACCAATGTGGGCAGATGGTTTCAGATGGTTTGACTGCAAGATTGACTATAAAGTTTTTATTAACATCTTATTTTTTACATTATAGTTTTCCCCAATATCTTCCCCCACCTCCCGGAAACATTTCAAATAACAAACAGCATTTTTTTAAAATTTTTAGGCAGTTGGGGTTAAGTGACTTGCCCAGGGTCACACAGCTAGTAAGTGTCAAGTGTTTGGTCTGAGGCCAGATTTGAACTTGGGTACTCCTGACTTCAGGGCCAGTGCTCTATCTACTGCGCCACCTAGCTGCCCCTCAAATACCTTTTTTTAAAAGATTAAAATTGGAAAAAAAAATCAACACAACCAATCAATACAGAGAAAAAGTCTGAAAATGTGCTACCTTGTAACATCTATTGACCTCTCAACTTAGCAAAGGGGTCAGTTGAGCATATGCTCTCATCTCTTTTCAGCCCGGCTTGGTCTTTATAATTTCAAAAAATTCACTTTTGGTGTGTGTGTATGTGCCACAGGTACAGTTCTTTTTGTTTGCATAGCTGTAGTCACTGTGCATGTTATTTTCTTTGCTTACTTTGCTGTGCTTCATTTCATTACATTCGTGTACATTACATTACATTCATGTACCACAGTTTGTTTAGCCATTCCCCCAATCTATGAGTATCTACTCTGTTTCCAAT